CCGAGGCTGGCCACGTCCTTTTCCAGCAAGATGTGAAAGTTTTGCAAAGACTGGGGCGGCGGAGCAACAATTTTCCCTGGGAAAGGAGGTGGCTAGCGAGGTCTCTCTCTTTGCTCTCCAAAATCTCAAAAAGGAAGCCGTGATCCTTTGCTAATGTTTGCAAAGCAAGGGAAGCGAAGATCCGTCGAGAAGGGGAAATGCACAACGATTTTCATAGCTTGCCCGGTCTCTTTTCCAGCCCACCTCCCTGTCTTTTGACTCATGGATGGTGTCTCTAGTGAGATGTCCCTTTAGCTATGGAGTTCTGGGATACCTACAGAGCCGGCCGCCTAATTGACACCGCGCATCTTCCCTTCCAAGGGTCTGAAGGGAAGGGGAGAAAAATTCTGGGCGGCTCTTCCCTGGCCCTGTTTTATCCCCCCTACGTGCACTTTCCACCTTCTGCTGGAAAAAGAACTCAGAATAGTAAAAGAAGATTGAGATTGATTACACGAATACGATTCCTCTAGGTTGTGCTCCCCTCTTGTGTGTGTGTCCTTGCTGCAGAAAAGGAGTAAAGAATAAATCTGTCGCTGAAGTTTCATTTCTAGGTGGATTTCCTTCAGGAAGAGGGGAGGAAGAAGTGAGGGTCAATTTCTTCCCTGTAAGGGTGGAGAGCCTTAGGGTGAATTAGGGTTCATTTCATCAATGGCTAGTTTTTTTCCCGTCCATGGTGGTCCTTCAAACCAGGATGAGGAGGGTCTTCCAAAGTGATTTAGGCCCCAATCCGAGCCCGGTTAGCAGAGAAGTCAACTCCCCTGGACACAGAGGGACAGCTTTTCTAGGTAAACACACAGAGACTTGGGCTATGAATATATCGAGAGACCCTTGGTTGCAAGAGAAATGCAACAGTGGAGCCTTTCATGGTTGGAAGAGTCTCTCTCCAAGTGAACTTTTGGCTGACAATTAGCTGTTTGTCTGAGGTTTTATTTCAGGGGTGGGGGGGGAAGCATCTTTCTGAGAAACCTTTGCAAGGATGCAGCATTAGAAGTGGAAGAAGGCACTTGACACATGGATTGGGGAGAAAATCTGTTCCTTTTGAGTTACTCTGCAAACCAGCCGATGTTGGCAAACCTTTGGAATTTGGTGCACATTGAGAAAGGAAAAGAATCGGAGGGGGCTGGTCTGTCCTATGAGACACTGGGTAGACATAGTTGATGGGTCATTTCATGCTCTACTGTTCTCCTCGTCCTTCTTGGTTTGACTGTTTCATGTCGGCTCTTCCCAGTTGAACTTCTGCGGTGACTTGCCTGTTTCTTGTCCTTCTCTATCAATCTGCCTTTTGAAAAACTGACCTCCCCTTGCAATCCACCAATATTTGAGTTCTCTCATGTTATGGGTATCTACCATGGACTTGTTCTGCTTTATTTTTCTCTATCTTGATTTCATTGGATTTCCATTGGCTTGGTGTGTCCTCTCCTTGCCCCCCCCAAAACACCACCTCCTCTCCTCTGTGCACCTCTGTGTTCTTTACACCCACTTTTATGGATTCTGGTCCTCTATTTTTTTTTTTAAATCCTCCATCTTATGGCTCTGTTGAAGACTTCAAGAAGGACTATGGCACACTCAAAGCTGCTGTTCCCAAGATCCCTTAACAATTAATGTCTCCTTAAGAGAATGCAAATGGGTCTTTCATGCCGGCCTGCCTAGTGGTTGCAGAAAGGTAAATATTTTGATCAGCCATTTGGAATTGGGGTTTGTTTGTTTGTTTTAAATCAGATTTTGGTGTGACTCTGAATAAGTCTGAATAGTAGTCCATAATGGATCAAAAATGGAATCTCAAGAGTTCCACCTTGTACCTACCGTGCTCACTTTCTCTGCTTCTCCTGGAAGAGGTGCATTATTAGGGAGCAATGCCTGGAATTGTCCAAAGTGTGGCACTACAGCTGTGTGAATAAAACCACCATGAAGTCGTTGTAGCCTGCATTGAATGTGTACATCCAGAGACATACGTAAACCTACTCACCTTGCTCCTGTTGCATTAACCTTTTTCCACCTAATTACTGAAGCCTGTCAATAATTCCAGTTGCTTCTCAGAGTTCCTTCAAGGGCCATCGAAAAGGAGGTTTGGAGTGGGGAGGCAGATCGCTGCCAAATCTCTCTACAAATGTTGCTTTCTTAGAGGAAATAATGAGCACAGCTAGAATCCAAAGTGCAGTCCCTTTCGAGTTAGCAACCCGTTTCCTTAAAACAGTGCCTCTGTCAAAGATGAGGTTTCTAATGGCCGTGAAAAGATTAGATTATTTTGCATAGAAGGGCGTGTTGAAAGAAAAGGCATAAAGATAAAGATCTAAATAGAGATTTGTTTTCGGTAGGATTGATAATTTCATCTAATCTCTGACACTTGGGGGGAAAAATATCTCAGATGCCAAGGACATTTTTCTGCCTGCAGCCTTATTTTCCGAATATTGGATACTATTGGGTAAACCAATTCCAGTGATGACATATTCCATAGTTTCTGATCAACTGCAATCAAGAGGAAACTGGGGTTCATTTGAATCTTCTCCCTGAGGCTCTAGTATCATTTTCTCCTGGGAAGCCTGCTACGTAAATCAAGAGAATACTGACTAGCCCGGAGTTACCTCACCAGCATCCCAGCTGAGTAGGGATTTGATCTCAAATGCCTGGGGTCTTGATAGAACTATGCAAAGCTCTGATGGAAATTGGCTCCAAGATGTGCCACTTGAGGAAGGGTGATTTTCCCAGCATCTGGTATGGGGTCCGCTCCAAGATGTGCCACTTGAGGAAGGGTGTACTCATGATTTTCCCAGCATCTGGTATGGGGTCTGAGTTCGACCTCCCACCTATTTTTATGGGGGAGATCAAATCGATCTCTCTTGGGAAATATCCCACAGACAACCAGCAGCTGTGACATCATCTTTCCATCTTGCATCTGTCCCTAGCAGCCCATTCTTAGCTTTCTACTACACTGGCATGCATGTGTGTGAGAGGAACAGGCGGGCCCCCAGATGTTCTGGACTCAACTCCTAGCCAGCATAGCCAAGGGTCAAGAGACAATGGGAGCAGGGCTCCAGCAACATCTGGATGGCCAGAGGTACCCCCTTCTCACTGTAATGTGAGCAGAACAAGCAAAAGGCAAGACATTCCTGGTCAAATGAATAGGCAGGATCTGTGCCCAGGTCCTGGAGTTCAATCTAGACCAAATGGGTCAAACGTAGGATAGGGGTTCAAAGGTATAAACAAGCTTCTCCCCCAGCTTTCTGCCCCATTCTTAAATAAATTCCTACATGAGCTTAGAAACACTCTTCGGATCCTTTCAGGTGTTTGAAGGGATGTGAACATAGAAAAGTAATTTATTTGCCATGCAGCTATGTGAATCCCCTGACATCTGAGGAGAGTTACTGTGAATGACGACTCTTCGCCAAATGAAATCTGCAAAGAGAGAAGAGAAAGGCACAACACAGTCTTTCCTTACAATAAATGCATTTTCCTCTGCACAAATAAATTCTCAATGAAGCAGGCTTTCAGAATGGGGGGGGGGAGCTAGTGGGCAATTTGTTGTGGTTCCGCTAAAGGCGAGATGAGCCCTCTGAGATATTTAGGGTCCCAAGCCCCAGGAGTGCTTCCTATTGAATATGCTGCCGAGGGCAGCTGAGGTTTGCAGTCTGAAGGCAGCTGTAAAGCCACAGTTGCTGAGTTCAATGCGGATGATCTCTAGAAGGTCATTCCAAGCTCAATGGTTTAGGCCTTTTGCTGTGGAGCTAGAAGTTGGGAGTTCGATTCCCCACTGTGCCTCCTTGACAGAGGATGGACTCTGTGATCCATAGGGTCCCTTCTGGCTCTGCAATTCTAAGAGTATTAAATTTATGGGGCAGTGAAACACAGGTGGGTGATAAAGGAGAAAAAGACATCTAGACATCTTCTACAATTATGTGTGTCAAAAGAAAAAAATCCTGTCTGAAACAGAATATTGGTAAGCAGATACGGTTGAGTTCAGTTCACGTATTGACTGTAATCCCCAGATTCCCTCCTATATATAATGCCTTTGGTATTTTATTAATATCTAGATAATGTCTGCAAACTCCTTCACTTCCTAAGTCTGTTTTCCTTGTTCCAATATACACCCTTGTCATCTGCAATGACTTTGATCTGTATTTTTTTAATCCCTTCAATTATGCAAATAAAATGCTGATTTCAATCTGTGCAAAATTGGGAAGAAGAGGGGGTTGGCTGTGCAAACATGCCTTCTGTTGAGAAAAGTTAATCAAACAAATTATTTTTGTGATATGAGGAAGCACATGTGACGCAGGAAGCTGCTGCCTGATTAGGGTCTCCCCATCCCTTATCTTTGCTATCAATGACAGTGTCCTCAGTTGAACTAGATCTAATTGATGATGGGCCCCAGAAGTTTCAAGGACCCTCCTTGTGCACCGTAAAGT